CTAACTAAAATTCCATGTATAATCGCTGCTTCGCTATCCTGAATTTCCTGTGATTCTTTACCCTACATGCAACATAATTTTCTACACAGAATTCCTTTTGTTTTCTTCCCCAGAATGCAACTTAATAATCTACCCAGAATTCAATTTAATTCTATACCCAGAATTCAATGTAATTCTATTTTCAGAATTCAATGTAATTATGTACGCAGAATTCAATGTAATTATGTACCCAGAATTCAATGTAATTCTATACCCAGAATTCAATGTAATTATATACCCAGAATTCAATGTAATTCTATACCCAGAATTCAATGTAATTCTATACCTAGAATTCAATGTAATTCTATACCCAGAATTCAATGTAATTCTATACCCATAATTCAATGTAATTCTATACCTAGAATTCAATGTAATTCTATACCCAGAATTCAATATAATTCTATACCCAGAATTCAATGTAATTCTGAACCCATAATTCAATGTAATTCTATACCCAGAATTCATGGTAATTATATACCCAGAATACCATGTAATTCTATACCCAGAATTCCTTGTAATTCTATAACCAGAATTCTATGTAATTCTATAATCATAATTCAATGTAAATCTATACACAGATTTGCATGTACCATGTAATAAAAAGACTTTCATGTGATTCTTTCTCCAGAATGCAAGGGTAATTTTCTTCTCAGAATTCCAGGTAGTTCTTTAGCCAAAACTCCAAGTAATTCTTTACCCAGGATGCAGCGTAATTTTCTTCCCAGAATTACATAAACACTCTCTACCCAGAATTCCACTATTCCCTTTAGGGTCTTCTGTACAACAACGAGCCAGAGAAAGCACACAACACAAGAACTACATCTTTACACATTTATTTCATCGACATAATTCCATTAATGACAAACTAAAATATGTTTTCCAGTTTTGAAAATAATGCCAATAAATTATATTAAATTTCTCAAACTGCAAATCATGGTAATTAATTACATAAAATGAATTTTTTTAAATAACTTAATAAAAATAACATAAGATGAGATGAAAATGGTTACTTTTCCATTTTATGGTGAAAGCCATTGTATAGTTTTAAACACCCAGTATTGATGTTAAGTTACAGGCATAGAATTAGGATAAGGATCTTATCCTAACTCTTTGGTAGAACAAAAAAGCACAAGTCCCATGTAGGAATATGTTGTGTAGTTTTAAATGACCACAGCATACAGTGTCAGTAAAGTTTTTATATCTGTAATAACATATACTCAACTCCTTGATGAAACATTGGAAGTAAGATTTATATTCCGTTCATAATTTTCACACACAAAAAAAAAACAACAGAAGTGTGTGTCGTTTGCTTGGGGAAATTGATTGCCTTATTTTAGATGATGTATAAACGAGAGCTTAATATAGTTATTTGAGATCTAAATGTGTGTTATAAATATAAGGAGGGGACGGGGATGGTGAAACGCCATTAGAATGATTCAGAGAGTATGAAAGACGCACACAGAAACAAAGATTTTAGGTGAAATAGCGTTAAAATTCGAAGTAAGTTAGTCTCTAGGTTTTAGGAAAGTTAACCTCAAAATTCTAGATTTGAGAGAGTTATCCTCAATAATTTAGGTAAGCTAGTCTCCAGATTAGAGTTATCCTCAATAATATAAGGGAGTTAGTCTTTAAAGTTCAGATGAATCAGGCTATATTGACATTGTCCATGTTGTTACTTCCACTAAATTCATTTAGACTCGAATGGAAACCAAAACAGGACATTTTGACAATGCTACAATATCATAACGTTTAAAAATAAAATACGGTTTAGGTAGGTCGAACATAAAAATATCTCGCTACATTACAAAGTTGACTTTTAAGATTGAGAATGTTCCGCTGTAAATAAAAAAAAATGTACTCATGTTAACTATGATTTTGTTTGTATTTATTTTATAATCTTTGACACCGGAGATAGATTATTATTGTACAGCCAAAATGTGTGGTTAAAGCTGTCCTACCTCCCCCCCCCCCCCTCCAAAGAAAGTCTACCACTCCCCCCCCCCCCAGAGCGAAATGGAATTTATACAGAAAGTATATACTTATACCAGTGTCCGCTTACGGACTAATGTTGTACAATTTTAAAATATGAATTCATGTCAAAAAGCCACAAATCAATAAATACATTAAAACGTGTTTACATTTCTTTACTTGTGTCAAATCTGGATTTGAAAATTAGAAAAAAAATATGTTTAGAATACAAAAAAAAAAGAAAATTGGAGCTTCAACATTTTTCTATTTTTAAACCCACTCGCAAAACAATAATAAAACACAAACATAATGTGAAATACATTAGCAAGTTTCATTATACACATACTTTAAAATGTACATAGCAAATACGCTCGTAGGGATCCAAGCAACATATACACAGAACATACCGTATGATTTATTTATAAACATATAAACTGTTGTTTTGTAGCTGAATATGTATGGTACATACATCAGTTCAATGTACACTTTACGAAAGGCTCGAGGTTATGGTTCTATTAATAACTTTCCCTTGTTCAATATTAGGTTTAATTTCAAAAGAGAAGTTCAATTCTTTTTTATTTTATTCTAAAAAAATCATTTTGTTATGTGTAATAATGTCAACACAAATGTCATATCCACCTGTCATAACACCTGTCATAACACCTGTTATACACATCTTTCATACCCACCTGTCATACACACCTGTCATATCCACCTGTCATACACACCTGACATAACACCTGTCATACACACCTGTCATACACACCTGTCATACACACCTGTATGCTCACGACCTATTTACAAATTTACAATCAGCAACGATGAAAACACAGACAGCAATAAATAAACAATCGAGTTTTTTCTGCTCATACTGCTCGTATGTGCCCCAATATGAAGCTATACATATGTGAAGCTATACATATGTGAAGCTATACATATGTGAAGCTATACATATGTCCCATATGAAGCGCCATACTGGCACATGTAAGCACTTTTCAAATCCATGAGACAGAAAGGTTTTTAGTAGCATATTTACAACATCTATTACATGAAGATGATAAATGAAACAAATCGAATATAATCTTTCGTGGAGATTATCAAAACCAGTATTTGCGCTTCCATACAATGCACACACAATCTTAATTCACAGAGATCGCTCGTATATTTTTTAAAAATATACCAAAAACACACATAAGAATACATACAAAATACGTTTTCAGACACAAGTTAAGATTTCACAGCATCACACGGCTATTTTACCTGTAAGAAAACAGAACTCATTTACATATAACAAGTCACATGACAAGATCAACCAATCGAAAATGAGCATGTTATTAGACCTTACGTCATGTTTAAATGCAAAGAGAATCAATTTGTAAATGACGTCATCTTATTCACACATTAATTAATTAATCAATTAGTTAACACACAGATAATGCCAATAATCCACCTTGATAGCCTTTGTCAAGGACTGTTATGAAAATAGTCTCCGGTTTGTTTTGTTTACAAAATAGTCTTTTTTTTAAATCACTCGATTTTGACCAGCTTGTGGGGTTGGGGGTGGGGGTGGGGGTGCCGTTGGTGGGTGGCGATTGTTTGGGCGTGGCTATGCTATGGATAAACACACAGATGTGAGTACTGTTCCATTGAAAATTTGAATAAAGATTATTGACAAACAGCATCGTACTGCGTGAAGCTTAAATTTGAACACACAAATTCTTCTTTAGCAAAATGAAGGCGGTATCGTTTTTTTCTTATACGTTGAACAAGCTGGCATACGACAAATAGGACCCCCGATGTCAGTTAAACCCGCAGACGACAATTGGAGCTGTCAGTTATATGTTTGTCTGGGCCATCCATGACAATCGAGGTGAATCGTTAACATAAACGTGATTGACAGTCTCATTAGCGCTAATTAGTCGCATCATTGGCGTGTAGGTCCGTTCTTTGACAATCATGTTCTCACCGCTGGTATTTAGATGAATCGATTTTTCCGACAAAAAGTCCGTGAAATGGTCTTTCCTTAAATAGGTCTCTCAGTAGATCAATGTATAGGTTTTCTGGGACCTTAAATAGGTTGTTCATAAGTTCATTAAGAAACACATTTAAAGTTCGAAAGGTCTTTGAGAAAATTCACAAATATTTATGTGTTAAATTTCATCCGAGGTCCCTTGTAAAGTCGATTTTAATTTCTTTGAGGTACCATCGGTTGTTTCATTATTAGGATATTCTTGAAGGTCTATTCCCAGGCATATCCTGAGGTCCCACTGTATGTCGAAAAGGTCAATGAATAATTAATTTATTCGGCCCTTCATTATTTTCTTTATCATGTCCTGTATTAGGTCCTTTTTAGGTTCTTCAGTAGGTCATGTATTAGGTTCTTTAGTAGGTTCTTCATTTTGTCTTTTATTATGTGTTGATTAGGTCCTTTATTAGGCCCTTCATGCAGAATATTAAGATTGCATCTGAGACGAGTAGAGTCACTACAAGTTTAGCCTACAGAAAGACCTGCCAGTGTTGAGCCAGCAGATAGATTACAAGGCTCCAACAACAGCTGAGCAGACGCTTGCTGTGGAAGGGTATCGCTACATCGAGGACGCAGTGGTTCACGGAAGTTCGCTGGCTGCATGGGAATTATGGGACACTGGAGGTTGGAGAGTTTTTCCCGTCCGATTTTTGTGTGGATTTGGTTGGCGCCGGAAGTTGTTGAGAGCAGTTGTGGTGGTCATTGGCTGTTGTTGGTGGTGGATGGTAGCGATGGTGTGGAGAATTGGTTATTGTCGTTAGCTGATGGTAGAGATGGTGTGGAGAACTGGTAGTTGTCGTTAAATTATAATAGCGATGGTGCTGGTAATCGGCTGTTCTCGTTGGTTGATGTTAGCGCTGGTGTGGAGAATCGGCTGTTGTCGTTAGTTGATGTTAGCGATGGTGTGGAGAATCGGTTGTTGTCGTTAGTTGATGTTAGCGATGGTGCTGGTAATCGGCTGCTGTCGTTAGTTGATGGTAGCGATGGTGCTGGAGAAGAGGTCCGAGATGCTGGTGTTGCTGCTGCTGTTGTGGTCAGTCTCGATGGTCGAGGACTGGATGTCGCTGAGCGAGGGGGTGGAGCTGATGTCGGAGAGGGCGGGGGAGCCGGCGTTCATGTCGGTGATGGAGTTGGAGTCCTTCATCTCCTTGTCCCGCCCGTCCGGGGACTCTGGCACCTGACCCTGACCGGCCTTGGTGCCACCCTCGGAGTCCTGCTGCTTTAGGAGGTTCCTCCTGTATTTGGCGCGTGCGTTCTGGAACCACACCTGGGGAGGAGGAAAACAAATCATTAATAAACTTTATATCTTTCACATTTATAGTTATGGGAATTTTAGTGAAGCGTCACCGTGAACGGAATCTCTGGGGTGAAGCTCATGGTTGCAGAACCAAAAAGTCTCGAGTTCGAAGCCCGGGCAGACAACTCCAAAATCAAACAACTGCTGCCTTGCAGTTTGTTCTGGGTTGGACAAAGGCTATGGAAGCAAATCTACAAAGAAAAGCAGGCTGAAATCGGAGTCAATGGGTTGTATAGCGCATAACAAGTTGACACGCAATACTTAATTGTGTTGGAGGAAATCTCTTCCAACAATTGAATTGAGAACGAAAATGAAGAAGAAAAAATAAAAAGTAATTAAAAATTGGGGAATTGAAGTGAGGTAATGTTTGGGACGTGAGATTCAAGAATGTAGATGTAGTAGAGTTCATCTACTTTTGTGACATGACAAGAGACATTTGTGGCCAGTGCAATGGTCAGCGTCCACTGCTTTTATTAAAATGTCAGGTATCCAGAAGAGCTGAGTGGCTCAGAAACTCGTAATTGCTTGTAAACCGAGGATCGTTTTATTATCAATATGACTATAGACTTTTAAAAATACTTAATTACTAATTAATTAATCAACGGTACGTTTGATTATCAAGTATATGCAAGAAAGTATATGAAAAATAAATAATTAGCATAACTTAAAATACAGCTAAAATTAATCAAGTTTCGTCTTTTCTTCTATGTGATGAAATAAACTTTAGACAAATCTGTTAAACAAAATATATTGTAATCAGGATTGTGTACGGGGGTTGGGGGTATGTTTATTTATATACAAGATTATTTTTAAAGCAATGGGTGTTATAGAACCGGAAAAAAAGTGGGAAAAAAACAAATCTCTGCGCGTGAAGTTCATGACAGATGGGGCAGATCACGTGGGGTGAGTATCAGGATGGACGTGGTTGACTATCTCGCTCACGCGCGGTTGTGTAACAATGTGTGTCGTCACTCGCCTCGAGTATGTGCCCGGCCCCCCCCCCCCCCCGGGCATGGTGATTGTCTGGCGCGTGGGTTAATGGGACTGGGGGGGGGGGTGAATACGGCACCGTGCCGTGTTTTAAGGTTAACCACAGTCCGGGGCAATCAGATCCCGGTTTTAGGGGGTTGTGTGTGTGTGTGTGGGGGGGGGGGTTATTGTCATTCTGGGTTTGTTTGCTAGCGGCCAAGCTCGTTACATGACAGGTCAACTAATTGTTTACTAGTAAAGGAAAAGGGGGGGGGGGGTCAAGTTAGAACGTGTTAGTAATGAAAGGGGTCGGCTGATGATATGCTGTAAAAAAAGTAGGGGTCATCGAATAGTTAAGAGATGGATTCTAGTGATGAGTTTGTAAAGACAGGGGGGTCATTTAAAATGGGTTGTAAAAGGGGGGTCATTTAATGATATAGTTGGGATGACGCGGGTATAAAGTTAGGCAACTCTACGCTAAGGGCAATTTGTGAAGTGTGGTAGTGCTTTGTTGTTGTGGTACCGCAGTGGACCATCATGGGTCAACCAAATTACAGTTTTATTGAGTTAAAAGGGAGATAACGATGATGTGACGTGATGGTCAAGGGCGGTAATTACTAGTTAATGGACGTTAACTCTTGGAGATGTGACGTCATTATTCATTGTTTTATAACAAGAGCGTGGTGAACATTATAATTTTTTTTTGTAAAACTAAACTTTTATTTTTAATCATACTTATCAAAAAAATTCAGGACATTTTATTTAACGCTTAATCTTTCTAATATTTATTTTGTTATGATAAAACATTTGCGTTTAAATATTTGTAGCATTAAACATTGGTTTCGCTTTGAATTTTGTTGATTTTGTGGTGAACTTTATTTGTATTTGAACATTTGCTAGGAAATTTTGCTGTACCTGAACATTTGCTATGAACTTTAGCTGAGATTAAACAATGCTGACAAAATGAACCATTTTTCATCTGGTATTTTTCGGGTCACTTAGTCCTTGTGTTTGCCTCCATTAATCAAGTGCACAATTATTTTTTATAGCACTTGACAAAAATGATGAGCATACCAAGAAAAATGTCGACGATTTCAACCATCATCCATCTTTGTTATTTTGTTTCACTTTTATTCCGATTGTTCACAGATCCACATTTTGTAGCAGGCGGGACAACCCTTGTAAATGGGAGATAATCCGCAGGGCTCTGTTGGCCTATTTTGTCATGGGTGATTTCCTAGCTGATCGTTATCTGTCTGACCACGGAGGCGATTAACTCGGACACTGGACAATCTTCCATTTTGTGATGCTGATGCGATTATCCACAGCCGCCCATAGGATTAGGGGTCTACGCCCCTGATGCGATTAGCCACTGCCGCCCACTGGATTACAGGTTTACGCCCCTGAATGAGCATCGGGATTTGAAACGAATGATAGCATTGTCCTAATCTTGTAGTGAAGGGTGGGGGGGGGGGGGGCGAAAGGGGTCACCGAGATGGAAAAGCATGAGTAGGGTCACATTTCAAGTACCCGTGTATTTGACATGGCTTGGGGTGGGGGTGGGGAGGCGGTGAGGGTGGGGGGGAGGTCGGAAGGTCAACTTTACATCCATATATATATATATATATATATATATATATATATATATATATATATATATATATATATATATATATATATATATATATATATATATATATATATATATATATATATATATAGCGAGGAAGTTTTAAGTTTCAATCCAAGTATTTTGTTCTGGGATAAGGGGTAGACTCCCCCCCCCCCTACCCTACAAATTCTCACTACTCACCTACACCCTCTAAGCTTTCCTAAATCCAATAGCAGTAGAGCTGGGCTATATAATCGCTCCATTATTCAAAATGTAATTAGCATCATTCAAGCTATAAATAACTGTTTTTCCCAATTACGTAACAGTTTCGCAGTTGATAGTTTATAGTTTATACCACATGGCAAAGACTAGATTGCGACGTAATATACGACTCTACAAAGCAAACACAATACAAATGAATAGAACAACACAACATATAAAAACAAATTACACCATAATACAACAAACCACCTTTACATCAATATACACAACCTCACCATACATTTAGCTAGATTATAAAAACTCACTAAAATCGAAAGTAGGAATTATCAAGGGGTGTCTATTTAAATACAGCTTTCAGTCCTACGTAGCCAGCCTCCACCCGAGGCAATAAGCAAACGTTAATAATAGTTTTCTGGATATTTCCAAAGTGTTTATTTATATCCAGCGGCGAGAACTGAAGTTTAAAAGACATTTTTGTTCACTTTATAAAAGAGAAAAACATCCTTAAAAATACGATTAGAAGAATGATACATTTTTATTGTTGATCTGTCTGTCTGTCTGTCGGTATCATCTGTCCACCCCGAGTTCATCTGTCTATCCTTATTATCTATTCATCTCGCTCAACAGACCCCTCCCACCTTTTTACTCATCGTCTTTTTTTTCTTTTAGAATTTTTTTTTATCTCTTTGAATTGTTGTCCTGTGTATAGGTCCCGCCCATTTCTAAGTCCACGTCACGCTAACAAAAGCCCCTGGTCAACTGATTGGCCTGAGGGGGGGAGGGGGTATCAACCAAGTGACCTTCGCCCTTGAATGGCCACCTGCAGTGGATGCGCGGACGTCCATGAAAACAACAAAACCCCTCCAAAAGATATTCGTGTTTCATCCATGTACTACTATTTATCGGATTAGACCCCAGCAAGCACGACAGGGGGGTGTGGGGGATACGGACGTGGGAGGAGGGGCGGTTCCCCCTTTGATGTCCAGTGGGAATTTCATGGTCGAGTGACGGCGCGTTAGCGTTGAATATGAGTGTTACCCCGGTTTTTTTTGTGATGAACTACACTGGTATTTGAACTTGGGTATTATTATCAGACGGGGTACGGATACTTCTGTAGAGTTCACTTGTTTCTAGGGTCCAACACATCATGGCTAGGTGGGTTCAGATAGTTAGGGCGATGGGCTTGATCTACGCATGCGTGAAATCGGAAGTAAAGACCCGCGTCGATTTAGTGGAGTTGTGTCGCTTTATTCAGATGATTTAGTCGTACGGGACCAATGACTAGTCAAACGGTTTCGCCTTTTCATTTTGTAATGGGGGTTTTGGTGTAAACAGTAGTTAGAGGTGATGCGGCGAGTGTTTGAACTGGGGACTCTAGTGTGGGGGACCATGCGCTGTACCAGCGACCACACGACCTCGACGTGAGTTAAAAATGTGGCATTTGTCGACTGTTTTAACGCCGTGTGTTTGAATTTGGAACTCCTGTATGATGGCCCGTGCGTTCTACCGCACGTGAGTTCAAATGTGGCGTTTTGTCGAGTGTTTTAGCGCCGTGTGTTTGAATTTTGTGATGGCCCATGCGCTCTACCGCATGACCTCGCAACACCTGAGTTAAAAATCGTGGTGTTTGTTGAAAGCCCAGGGTGGATGGCAAGCCCGCACACCCCGCCCATTGTGCTCCGCTGTCAGCCGACGACGGTCACGTGACACAATTGGCCTCTGGATGACGTGACTAAAATATCACGTGATGTCACTCGCTGTGGATCTGCGTGAAGTGATTTGATTGGTCAATATCAGCCACGCGCATGCCAGCTTATATGTTTGCTTAATAGAGACGTTTCAAGGGGACGAGTTCAAAGTTCGTAATCAGCTGTACAAACTTTGATTTTTGTACACGTTAATTAGCGCTCACTTGTAATTATAATTACAATTTAGAGGTCCCCTAACAAACTGATCTGAAATAATGCCAAATTAATCACAAATTAACGGAAACAGTACTTTAAAGTAATGACATAAAAAAGAATACAAACATACATTCATACCTACATACATACATATATACACACATATATCTATAACATATATCTATAAACATATATCTATAAATAAAAAAATATAAATATATATATATATATATATATATATATATATATATATATATATATATATATATATATATATGATATTCCTACAGTTACTTCTTAAACTTTTCTATATCAAAATATATTTACCCACCCGCCCCACTTACACAAACACACACACGCAGAATCACACACACACACACACACACACACACATGCACACACCAACTCACTTTTCCACTTTGTCAAATCCCCGGTATATTGACATTGATCGACTTCACCGAACACAAGCAGTTTCTATTTTTTTTCTTCTTCTTTACCTCTGTCACTTTTTTTTCCCTTTCGGCCAACAACTTGAGTTTGTGGGGTGATGGGGGTGGGGGGGTAGGATATGATTTCTGTGTGTACCTGGGACACCCCTCCCCTCTCGATTCAAACCCGGGCCCGATGATGTTTTTGCTCGCAGACGACGCTTCTGTTTGCTTACCCCGCCCCTTTTTATAACACCGTGGGCTCCATTACCTCTTGACAGCCTTTACGAGCCCGGGGGGGGGGGGAGACTCATGGGGTGTTGGTTTCGCACTTTGACGCCGGTTTCTTACGCCTTTACACTACAAACAGTATCGGCGAACGTGGTTTAGACAACGGGGTGTTACGTCACTGCTAGGGTTGGGCCACCCATGGGCACCCGTGTTGGTCGCTGAAGAAGGGTTTGTCCGTTATCCCGGTCGGGTGGCTGAGATTTACCCGGATTAACCAAGTTTCCATTAAGCCGGGATTAACCCCCGTGGTTAACCGGCGAGAGTTTGACAGTGAATCAACCGGAAACTGGAAGCGTGAATACAAATTTACGGAACTAATTGGCAGCGGTCAGATGATCTTAGGTGGTCTTTAAATCTTTAGACGTTCAATACTTTTTCATTGTTTCTTCCCCATAAACAACTACGTAACTCTTACTGTTGTTCACACATTGCCAACATAGTCCTTTCCTTTATCGACCCATCACAATCCTCAATATAACCCCACACCAGAGGCGTGGCGCGGCGGGGGGTTGGGACCGCACCGGGTGACACCTTTTAGGGGGTTGACGTCATGGCGAAAAGTTGCGAAATATGTAGAGGAGATATGCCTTTTGCCCGTTCAATTAATGATTAGAGTTAATCCTCTAAAATCTTATAATTTACTATGAAAACGTTTTCCACATGAATTAATTGGTGTATTAAAATAATGTGCGCACAACTTGACGGGATAACTGTGGGATAGCACTTTTGGAAAGCCCTATGGGATAGCCCTGTACGATAGTCCTATGGGATAGCATTGTAGAATAGTTCTCTTGGATAGCACAGTAGGATAGTCCTATGGGACAGCCCTGTGAAACAGCCCCGAGAGATAAATCAGTGAAACACTGGGATAAATCTCTCCGTTAGAAAAAAAATCCTACCCAAGCTCAATCTGAACAAAACAAATTCCCCTGTGGGGGGACACGTCCACGCGAGCTCGGCTAGGACGGGGTATCTAATCTCTACTCACGACAAACTAGCTGTTCGCGCACGTGCGGTGAGTTGGTTTTACTCACCTTGATAGGTGTGGCGGTGGTGAGTGTGTGTGTGGTGAGTTTGTGTGTTGGGGGTGAATGTGTGAGTATGTGTGTGGGTGGGTGTGGATGTATGTGGTGAGTTTGTGTGTTGGGGGTGAATGTGTGAGTATGTGTATGGGCATTTGTGGGTGTGTGTGAGCATGTGTGTAGGGGTAAGTATATGAGCATTTTTGTGTATGGCAATGGTGAGTGTGTGTGTAAGAATGTGAATGTGTGATTATTTGTGTGTAGGGGTGTGAGTGTGTGTGAGTGTGTGAGTATTTGTGTGTAAGGGTGTGAGTGTGTGTGAGTGTGTGAGTATTTGTGTGTACGGGTGTGAGTGTGTGAGTACTTGTTTGTACGGGTGTGAGTGTGTGAGTACTTGTGTGTACGGGTGTGAGTGTGTGAGTACTTGTGTGTACGGGTGTGAGTATGTGAGTATTTGTGCGTAGTGGTGTGTGAGTGAGTGTTTGGTTATATGTGTGTAGCATGTTAGTGTGTGAGTATTCGTGTGTAGGGGGAGTAGTGTGTGAGTATGTGTGTAGTGGTGTGTGAGTGAGTGTGTGAGTATGTGTGTAGTGGTGTGTGAGCATGTGTGTGTGTAGTGGTGTGTAAACTGAGCGACCTTACCTGGAGTACACGCTTAGACAAGCCAGTTTTCTGGGCGAGCTGCTTCAAGTCCTTCGCATCCGGGTTGTGGTTGAGGGCGAAGTAAGACTTCATGGTTCGCAGCTGGTGGTGCTTGAAGGAGGTTCGAACCCTCTTCTGTCTGGGCGTCTGGTGGGGGTAGCCGTCACGCTCCAGTACGTCGCCTCCCCTGTCGGGGTTATCTAGTCCTGCAATGTGGAGGGGGGGGGGAATTATTTCGATGCTGGGGCTTGATTTCAAAGGGTACACACAAACATAAACATATATAGAAAGAAAAGCAGGCTGAAATTATAGTCAACAGCCTATATGGGGCCATAACAATTTGTAAAGTAGTACCCAAATGTGTTAAAGGAAATCCCTTCCAGGAAAGAAAAAAAAAGGAAAAAGAAGAAATACAAGTATCCGTAGATATCCCTTAATTTAATCACGGTAAACCATTTAATGGCCAGATAAATGTCACCGATTCCACGCCATTTCTTCGGTTTGGTTTCACTCTGGCCAAATCAATCTTAACAAGATGAGACAAACATCATTTATTTCAATTCAACAAAAAAAAAATAAATAAATAAATAACGTAGGAAATAGACCAGACTGACCAGCGGACGAACGGATCAGACAGACTGGCCACCGGGGGGGGGGGGGGGGAGGGGGGGGGGGCTGACCCTCGGATGCTACGAGATACCCAGACAGTCGCTGCCATTAAACACGGGTGCCCAGAGACCAGTTGTGTTCCTCCGCCAGCTACCACGTGGTGCCATTAAATCAGAGACTGGCATCCTGCTAAATTCGCCATTAAGACTCCGCCGAATGGAGAAAAAAAAATAGATCTAATCGTCGGGGGTGAGGTAGTTATCTGGTCGTATCTGGCCTAGATCGCCGGATATCTGGTGTAGATCGCCGCCTATCTGAGGTGAGTGGTGGCGTTTTATTGGGCTTAATTCTCATGCAATATGGGGTATGTGGATTGGTTATTTGACGTGGTTTTTGGGGTATGGTTATTTTATGTGGTTATTGGTTAGCTGAGTGGATATTGTGTGGTTATTGTGCGGTTATTGTGTGGCTATTGTGTGGTTATTGTGTGGTTATTGTGTGGTTAATTGTGGCTGTGTTATTTGGATATTGTGTTGTTATTATACGGTTAACTTGCGTGCTTGTTATATGTGGTTGATTTCTATGGTTACTTTTTTGGCATTGGCATTCGACTATGGTTAGACTATTGGGTTGATATTCTGTAACTATCATGTGAATATTTATTTTGATACAACAGAGTTGTTACGTAATATGTAATCATACAGTTGTTGCTTACAGAGTAAATCACATATCTTTCTGGTATAGGCCTATGTGTTTGTGTTATGTGTTTTTTGTATATTTTTTGTGTTTTTGTTATGTGATTGTTCGGGTATGTGTATGCTTGTTCTGGGGTCTGTGCTCATTATTTACTTAGGTGCAAACCCTGTTTGTCGGAGTAATAGTCGGGGTAGTAGTGTAGTGTCTTGGTAGTGATGTAGTGACAGGGGTAGTGATATAGTGTCTTGGTAGTGATGTAGTTATGTAGTGACGGGGTAGTGATATAGTGTATTGGTAGTGATGTAGTTATGTAGTGACGGGGTAGTGCTGTAGTTATGTAGTGATATAGTGTCTTGGTAGTGATGTAGTTATGTAGTGATATAGTGATATAGTGTCTTGGTAGTGATGTAGTTATGTAGTGATATAGTGATATAGTGTCTTGGTAGTGATGTAGTTATATAGTGATATAGTGACATAGTGTCTTGGTATTGAAGTAGTGATATAGTGATATAGTGATATAGTTTCTTGGTAGTGATGTAGTTATGTGGCTGCGGGGTAGTGATGTAGTGATGTAGTTTACTAGTTATGTAGTGTCCGTGTAGTGATGTAGTTATGTAGTGTCCGTGTAGTGATGAAGTTGTCAGGGAGATAGTGTCAGCCAATGACGAGGTACAGAGTTGAAGAAATGAAAGTTTACATAAAGCCTGCCATGACAAGATACCTACTACAGATTGCAAAACGGGAGAGGTGGGGCGTGGGGGGGGGGCTATTTCCGTCCGTAGGGAATGAGCATCCTTGGTTTGTTTAGAGGGTTGGGGGATGGGTGGGTGGGCAGCAGACATGAAAGGTGGAATCGCCCTGGAAGACCCTCCAGTAACTGAGAGATTAACTCAGGAGTTTAGGCGAACCTACGGGGAGAAGGTTTGAAGGGAAGAAGCTCCGGGTCTAGGATGCGGAAGTAAGGAAACGTAACTCTTGCATCGGGTTTTGTTGTTTTGTTTTTTAAACTGGGGGTGAGTTATTTCCCGTAACTTTACGTTGATTGTAACGGGTGGAAGCGGGTGGGGTTTGGGGGTTCTTGCGTACAGTTGTGGTTCCTTTCGAATATGTTTTAGATATCGTCCTGTAAGCATTTAGGAAAGAGGGTAGTATTTGTATGGCAGTGTGATTATGTTATGGTGAGTATTGCGAGTTAACCATCACAAAGAGATGTTGATAGATATAATAAACTAAACGTACAAACTTAAAGGAGATATGATCCTTTAGTAATATAAGAGTTTCTAAAAATAAAATAAAGTAATTTTTATATATATATATATATATATATATATATATATATATATATATATATATATATATATATATATATATATATATATATAACTTGCTTTTTCCGAGAAGTACTTCAGAAAACTCCTAAGTGCTAAATGCTATTTCATTAAATAAGTTTGATATTTTGCGATATATGTCCCACAATACGAATAACTTAGCATTTCGCTCGATTGCATACTTACAGTTATGTCATGATATCAGGAGGCCTATATCAAAATACAAAGGGTGACAACTCATATATCAAATTAAGGTTCGTTTACGAAAACTGAAAAACTAAAATATCGAAAGCAACCTACAGCCCTAGTTTAGGTTCGACAACGTCAAGAATAAATTTAAATATCAAGGGCTACAACTAACAGCACAAAGCCAAGTTCGACAACTCATATCAAGGGCGACAACTCACAACACAAAGGTTCGACAACCTAAGCCTGATGAGTAAGTATCCCCACTGCCAGGAGCGATAAGAGTTGTGTCCACTTCTCTGCTTCACTTGTCGTCTGCTACTTAACCCTCCCCCTCCCCCCCCCCCCCCCCCTTACCGTCTAGCGTTAGAATTATTTATGCTCCTAGACTCCTCTTTATGCTAGATTTATATCTCAGTATTTGCTCTACTCACTATCGCATTTGTTTGTTTATATTTCAAGCGTGGATGCTTTTTATTTTTCAACTCAATTTTTAGACACGTTCTGGTACGGAGGGCGTGAAGGCAAGTCTATGTAGCATAGTCGATGGGGGATCTTTGTACTGGGGGGTGGGGATGAGGGTGTATATTGGTGGGTGGATCTATAGCTGGGCCTATAGCTGGGTGTATGGCTGGGTCTATAGCGGGATGTATAGCTGGGTCTATAGCTGGGTCTATAGCTGGATGTATAGCTGGGTCTATGGCTGGATCTATGGCTGGGTGTATAGCTAGGTCTATAGTTGTGTCTATAGCTAGGTCTATAGCTTGGTCTATAGCTGGGTCTATGGCTGGGTCTATGGCTGGGTCTATGGCTAGTTCTATGGCTGGGTTTATAGCTGGGTCTATGGCTGGGTCTATTGCTGGGTCTATGGCTGGATCTATGGCTGGGTCAACAGCTAGGTCTATAGTTGTGTCTATAGCTAGGTCTATAGCTTGGTCTATAGCTCGGTCTATGGCTGGGTCTATGGCTGGGTCTATGGCTAGGTCTATGGCTGGGTTTATAGCTGGGTATATGGCTGGGTCTATAGCTGATGTTGATAGGTGGGTGAGTGGGTAGCTCTGTGTGTGGGTTGGTGTATGTGTGGTGTAGGGTGTTTCTGTGAGAAGTTATGTGAGTGGATGGGTGGGTTTCTGCGAGTGTGGGTCTGTGTGGACGTGTGGGCCTGTGGCTGGGTATGCTAGTGTGAGCGTGTGTGTGTGATTTTATCTATTTGTAATTAATCAGATAATTAACATAACTCCACTTTGTAGTTATGACAAGAAAAGAAACGTATAGTATAGGCAGTAAGCATGTTGTTTATACAACAACTGCAACAACAGCAACAACAATAGCAACAACAGCAACAATAACAGCAACCAAAATGTTGCTGTGGCCAAAAAAATGTCTGTATACAAAGATTTCAATTTTTATACAATGCCCCAAGTAAAAAAAAAAACATTGTCATGGAGATGTAAAAACGTGACTTCAATTCGTTTCTTTTTTTTTTTTTAATTTATCTTGTTATTCTGTCACGTATGTCATTATTCTTTATGGGATTAAAAAAATATATATTTACAAAAACAAGAACATAAAGATAATTCAGGAAAGTTTGTTTACTTTTTACTCAGACAGTGTACGACTGTATGGTGTACAATAAACCAAAAAATGTGTACAGCTACTTATAAATGTGTACATCGAATCTCTGCCGAGAATACATCCTATATACTATCCCCACAAATACCTCACCACCTCACCACTTATACTATATACACTAACCCCTCAACACCCCTTTCATACCATGTACGCAAATCCCTCAACCCCCCCCCCCCCCCCCCAACACCCCCGCCCTCCTCTAATCGTGTCCAGCTGGGTTAGCGCTGTCTTCTAGCAGGGGAGGTAAGATTAGATGAGTCGAAACATGCAGGGGCACAGCAGGGGAAGTAACCCGAGTTTTATGGGAAAATTAGTATGCACCGTTAGCGCGTGGGACTTGGCATTTGTTATTTTTTACCCACGTCGTGTCAACGCGGGGTGTTTTAAAAAAAAAATTTCGTCGGGAAAAAAAAATATTTATTGTGATTTTGTAGGGAAACTGGACATATTGACTTTAAAAAATGATACTTATTACAAAATCTATAAGGTTATTTTTTTTTATATTAGTCATGAGATTTTAAAATTGTTGAAATATGAAATTTACGACTTTTTTTAAAAAAGTAGAGATTTATCTATAGACCTAGAGAACCATTTGGAGGATGAAGTAGAGTTCATGTGTTTCTTGACCTCGGCATGTGAAGGGTTGGTGTGTTCAGCACTAGGTAAAGCCGTATTTACTATCCACAACATAAGTCGGGTACCCATCAAGGCTAGGTTGACTCAGTGACGTCTTACAGCTCCAAATCCGAAACGAGATCCGAACTCGAGACATTTAAGTCAGCAGCCAAATGCTCTA